GAAATATTTCTTGTCATTACCAATATTAATATCTTTTTTATGATAACAATGATAAAATATTAGGATTATTTATTGAATACAAAATTCAAAAGAACTTATTTGAAATAGAAATCTTTTGTAGCATTACTCTTATTTTGATCGTTTAAATGCATCCCTGCTGGATTCAATATTTAATTTCTTTCAAAATAAAACTGAGCCAAATATTAGCTTGCTTATTACTAATATTACAGCTAGGGCTAGGCCAATAAATGATATTATATCAATCACGATACAATTTAGGTCAATAACAATGATAAGCTCTGGACTTTTTATTCTATATTGATCTAAAACCCAATCACACAGCAGAAATGTGCAACAATGGGGATCTATAAGTGTGTTGGTATTAGAGATGTACCGAATTTTCAGCCACCGAAAGTATGTTATGCCTTTCATTTTTGTTGTATCAGTCATTGCTGGAGTACTCTTTTAAATGTGGAAGCATTAACAACTTCAATTAAAATATATATCATTATCGTTCAATATGTAAAATAATTATCGATATTGCATTTTTGCCAGATCGCCCAGCCCTAATTACAGCTATTGAGGTGTTCAACACAACAGTCATTCATTCATTTTACTTCGGCTTAGTCCCTTTAACCATCAGGGGTCGCCACAGTGGAATGAACTGGCAACTTATCCAGCATATGTTTCACACAGCGGATGCCCTTCCAGTGGCAACCCAGTACTAGGATACAACCATACACACTCACATTCACACACATACACTACGGCCAATTTAGTTTATTTAATTCATCTAGAGTGCACGTCTTTGGACTGTGGGAGAAACCGGAGCACCCGGAGGAAACCCATACGAACACAGAGAGAACATGCAGATTCCTCACAGAAATGCCAACTGTCCCAGCCAGGACTTGAACCGCTAACCTTCTTGCTGTGAGGCGACAGTGCAAACCACTGCTAACCAGTTCTAACCACACGACATGTATTATATTATTGCTTTGAATACAATTATCAGCCAATTAACAATCAAATAACACATCAAACATAAAACTTGAAGTATTTGACTGAGTGTATTTGAGAGTGCTAAACAGTAACAATGACTAGATTACAGTATATTCATAAAATGAAACTAGTCGTGCGGATTCATTTCAAACATCTTTAACTGGTAAAAAATGGCTTATATAACAAAAAAAAACAGACCTCTAAAATCATCACTACTCATAAATAAACATTTCAACCGTTCACTTCTGTGAGAAGTGGCACCTGATAAAACATCCTTTATGAGTCAAACCCCGAGTGAAACCATTTCCCTACCTCTCTTAAAATAAAAACCTGCACAACACTGCGGCTGTGTTTTTCATCAAAGCGATATCAGGAAGTCTTCAATAAATTGCTACTGTCATCGTTTCTTTTTGGCAGAGCAATTATCGCATCTTGTCAGAGCAAACCAGTGCCAGGAATACAGATCAGTGGTGAGCTTTGATTCACTAATACGTACAGCGTACAGCCACAGAAAGTTCCTTGGCTTAAACAAAAATCATTATTGCCATTTATGCATGTTTTGCACCTGAACAGTGTGATATTACATCATGTAAGAAATCATCACGTTATCCCGCTCTCATTTTCAGCAGCAGACAGGCGTATCCCACAGATAAACAGAGCTTATGATTTAAGCTCAGACTCAGACAGAATCATGTGGCAAACTGTGATCGTAATCAAGCTCTTATTTATGAATCACCATATTGATTCAAAGCAGATTAAAGGAATATTTCCACCAAAAACTGTAAATTCAGATATTTAATCGCACTTATGTTGATCCAGCTGGTTTCAGAATGAGAGTAGGTAAATAGAAAGAGAATTTGTGTACTGTTCCTTTAAAGGCAAATGCTTTTTAAACACTCAACTTCCTTTAGTGAGTAACATTGCTGAGAAAGATCTGCAGGTTTACATAGCAGTAAGTCCCTCCAAAGTGCATTTTCCTCTGTATCTTTAAGCAAACTTTTCGATCTTCTTCAAACACCTCGATTATTTTCTATATTCAACTCATTTTCTAGCAGGAGCACATCATAGTATCCTAATTTAAATAATTTCTAGTGGTGTAACGAATCTCAAATTTCAGGGATCGGATCACATTATAGTTTTTTAGTCACAGATCGGACCATTTTTCAGGTCAGCCAAAAAGGGAAGGAGACAAATGTAATTTGCTTTCCATTTATTACAAACACAGCACTGCGAGAAACTTTTAGTTTCAACAAACAGAAATTAAAACCTATAATTTTATTCAAAAAAATAAAAATAAAAAATAATCAGACTAAATAAAAACTGCTACAACTGTTGCTGATAACCCTAAATGTATAAATCCAACATTATAATTTGTACAACCTATATTCTTTGGTTATTTTTAGTCTCATTTTCGATAACTGATTCAGTTTTTCACTCATAAAACTTCATGTTTCATTGCTAGAAGGATCATTTTGAAGTATTATTCAGTGACATATTTTTGATGCCTGCCTATTGGTTAAATAATGTCATTGCTGCCTACAGCTTTCATTTTTGAGCGTCAAGTTAAACGCATATAATGGTGATGTTAACCTTTACCATAAACATCAGTGGTTTTATTTAATCTATAAACTGTTATGCCAGTACTGTGTTATTTGGATGTAACTTAACTAACTCAAAAGACTAAAGACTGAATCTTAGGATTAATAAAAATATGCAAATCATTTATCATTTATGTTGCGTGGGTGTTGAGATCCCGATCTTTTAATGATTAATCTTTCAGCTAACACTGAATGCATTAATGCAAGCTAAACAATAAGAGACAGAAAACACTCTTAATAACCTAAGAAACCCACCACATCTTGAATAACCTACCACAACTTCTTCCGTCATCATATTTTATAGGAAAGCCTAAATGCTTTCATACATGTGATTTGAATGACACGAGAGGGGATCTCTCTGCAAACTGTACAAATTTAGGATTAATATACAATTAAAAATATATTAATCCGTGGGTCCAAACAGTGTGCTTTGATCTGTACATATGACGGATCAATCAAGATCAATTACAGCTCTAATTTTTTACCCAAAGGGACAAATTCCTAATTGAGTTGTTTTAGGGGTGTGTGTTGTCAGTTTGGCCAAGAGATACCGATTCACAGGTCTAATATACTGATACACATGCGATTTCTTCCCCTGCAGAAAAGTACACTGACACGGTTCTGAAACTCATACAAATGTTTTGTTTGCTAGCATTAAATATTTAAGGCATGATCTGTAAAGCCCTGCCCTCTTCTGGAAAGAGGATGGGGAGAGCAGCAGCTCATTTGCATTTAAGCAGACACATAAGAACAACGGTTCTGCTTCTGTTTACAGAATATACAGTAAGAAAGGATTTGTGATGTATTTTGAGATGCGTTCTATGAACATATGATTCTTACATTGCATCTGGTAAAAAATTGGCATATTAGGACCCCTTAAAAAAATCACAATATCAAAAATCACTACTACCAACAACATCACTTATCTTGTCTGACAATGTGTTCATTAAAGATCGACTGATATATAGATTTACCAGTATTTTTTCTTGCATATACGACAAATTTTGCCATAATTGAATATGGGTTTGTAATATCAGATTTCCTGATAAACCAACAATATCTCACAGCAATTCATAACTTTTGGATTTAGTAGCTAAATCGTATGAATTCGTACAATCTCATTCGTAAAATTTTGCACAATTTGCTCCTACCCCAATGACGGTTGGGTTTAGTGGTGGAGTTTGGTGAGACGCTTCCTTTTAAAAAAACCTTACATTTCCAATTGACTGAACTTGAAATATGCAAATTAGCCCCTAAACTGACAAATGTAAAATAGTTACGTTTCCTCATGAGATCAGGCTGGATAAACTACACAATTAACGCACAAATTTGAGGTGTTACATCAATGCTTGATACGTAGTTCATGTTGCCTGGCTATAATATCCATCAAGGTTGTTTCATAAAATAACTTATCGTAAAATTAAATAATACAAACATAAATTAGCATGTTGGAAATAAAAGCACTGAATTTCATTCTCCGTTGTTTACACTTGACATTAGTCTCTCATTAGACTAGTGTTTACTAGCATGAGGGCGGGGCAACCCATCACTCACATGAGACTGACCAATCAAATCAAATCAAAACCCAATGGAAAAACCTAAATCTTGCAATACTGTTTTTCGCATTTATGAAACTGTCTCAATCTGATTTTCAACACAATAGTGAAGAAAACTTTTTTGCCAACTCAATAGTAACTCAAAAGATCATGATTCACACTCATTGAGTAATTGCATTATATATATTTTTTTATTTTACATTCTTTAGTAAATAAAACATTGAGCCGAAACCTTCATGGTTTTGTTTGCCGAAGAATGTGAAATAAAAACAAAACACATTGTAGCGGCTTTCCAATTGCCGCTATTGTTGGTAGAGCAAGCAAGTTTTGTATGCCTAAAGTAAGAGTACGTAGGCAAAATAGATGCAAATTAAAACGTCTTTATTTTCCAATCAACATAATTACTTCATCACTTTTCCTTAATCCATATGCACTTCTCTGTTACCTTAAGTTGTACTTTGAGTTGAGTTGCGCTACGGTATGCTACGTTACGGTCAAAAACTGTGTGCTTCATACCAACACTTTCTTCCTCCATGCAGTGAAGCCACAGTTATATAGTCTCCTACTGATACCTTGTAGCCAATCGCCAATAAACAATGTATGGCTCCTACACACATGATGACCTTTTGAGTTATTCTGTTTATAAGATCAACACACCAAAATCAAACAATGCAGGAGCAAAGTGCATAATTTATTATTCAATGTATCAGTGATAAATACAGTTAATGAGAATGAAAATTATGCATTGTCACCCACTTGATGTTTCACACTTGACCAAAATGTAAGTAAAACAATGACAGAATTTAATTTCTGAGTGAATTCATTTGACAATTAAAGAAATTATTACCTTGACCCATGTAAGCTCCAGTCAGAGCCTCTTTGGCAGTGCCGAAGCCCAGCTCTCTGCACACCACGCTGGCTGAAATACGGTCCCACAGGTGGTCAACCACGGTTCCCCACTTTCCCTCACGCAGAACCTCGACTCGGCCTTCTCCCAGACGCGGCCCTGCCTTCAGACGCACTGACAGCTATGAGTGAAGAAATGAAATTGATGAGGTTTCTTTCATGTAATCATATTTTCCCACTTCTGGCCTGGGTTTTAGCCACAACACACATTTAAGGACTACAATCTTCATATAAGTGGTCAACAAATATGGTTTGTTTAACATTGATTTATACATATTATCCCGTAAATGTAATTTATTCCAATGATGGAAAAGCTGGATTTTTTAGCATCATTTCTTCTAGATCTTTCTATATGCTGGTCTACTAATAAAGAAACATTTATGGTTAGCATCAATGGTAAAAACTTTTATGCTACTTATATATATATATATATATATATATATATATATATATATATATATATATATATATATATATATATATATATATATATTTTTTTTTTTTTTTTTGTGGAAATCCTGATTGAAATATACTTTAGGTTGAATAAGTACAGTGTCTGGCAGATCATTTGGACTAATAATACACTACACACATTAGTTCATTGTTAAGTGTTTATAGCGAGTGTTTCTAGTGCTTTGCTTTACCAGCCGTGGTTTTGACCTAAGCCTTGTGTTTTTTGTTGTATGCTTTTTCGCAGCCTTACATTTAATTACTACAATTTGGATGACCAGTATGTTCCTATTTTACTCTTGTATTGACCATTGCTTGCCTGTAAGACTAGTCTTACAGTATTAAACTGCACTTGGATAATTACCTTTGTTGTCCCTCAATTCGCTCCCTCACACCTACCTTTCAAAGTGACAGTCTGTATTGTTAACATTTTTTAATGATTACTTGTTGAAATAAGACATTCATTGCTTTTAAGAAAAATAGATGGTGCAAAGATAAAAATCACTGCACACTAAAATGCTTTAACAATGCTAACTGCTTTGTGTAGAATAAAACAATATGCCCCAAAAAAGCCATGGATACATGAAGTACATGCAGGAGATTGTTATTGCAGAGCAAAGCTCAATAGGAAGGAAATAAAGGAAACAGCTGATAGAATATACACTAACTTCTGCATTATTCTGCCATAAGATGGCGACAAACAGTCAATAACGCAAATCTGACAGAGATGAAACCAGAAAAGAAAGCAGGGGTGCCCAAACTCAGTCCTGGAGGGCTGGTGTCCTGCAGAGTTTAGCTCCAACTTGCCTCAACAAACCTCCCAGGATGTTTCTAGCAAGCCCAGTAAGAGCTTTATTACCTGGCTCAGGTTTGTCTGATTGGGCTTAGAGGCAAACTATGCAAGACACCAACCCTCCAGGACAGAGTCTGAATCAACGTATTCCTTCACAAAAAGGCAACAAACAGCCAAAACTAGTCCAAAACCACACTGTGATAGACAAGCAGATGCATATGAATGTGTATGTAAATATATGAATATATGTAGATATAAATATATGAATGTATCCCTGACATTTAAGGCGATTCAAAACTTCCTGATCAGCCTGCATTATTTAACGGTTGTTGTCTTGGGATAACATACCTTTGAATGTTGCAAATGACCAGTCAATATTGAGTATTCCAGACAGCCGTGAAATAAAATGGTTTACTCCACTTTGTGTATAACAAAGCCCCTTAGCTGTTAGTAATTCACTGTATACTACAGATTCACGTGTTTACTAATTGCTGGGTTATTCAACTTTTGCAGCAAGGTCTCACAAAACAAAGCAAATTAAAAAGTTTCTAGAACTTACTATACTAGAACTTCTATGTTAAGCTGCTTTGACACAACCTACATTGTAAAAGTGTTATATAAATAAAGATGAATTGAGTTTCTCTGGCTCAGTATATTGATGGTTTAATGGTTGCCAACAGTCATGGGTATATGCTTGTAGAGCAATTTACAACAGCTTCTAATGCGTCTCAACCAATCGGAATCAAGAATCACTGTTTTATAATTGTGTTTTATAATTGTCTCTTAATAACAAATTTATAAATTTATCTAAAATACTTAAATGTCTCAAAGATTACCTGGACAGGATGAGGTGCCTGCGGTCTGCCAGAGGACATACGGGCAAACTGTGGTCCTGGGACACAGCGGGCCACAGCATAGCGACCATTCTTGCAGGGGGCGGGGCTTCGAGGGATTGATAGCTGGGTGTGGCACTCAGCCAGACTGGGCTCTGTGCCCAAACAATGAAGTTTCTCAACCCAGAATCCCTTCTTCTTAGCCATCTGACTCAATCTGGAAGACATCAAGACCAATAACACAGTACATTCAAGTGGCTTTGTTGTGTGTTTTGTGATAGTTGAGATTGAATGATGTGAAACTATGTTGAAAAACAAAAAGGAGAGATAAAAATAGATGATAATATTAGTACCGCATACTGTATCATCAAGAGTAAAAAAAAAAAACACAGCATCACTTTATTTTGATGGTGCCTTTAACACATTTTGTTGAATTTAAGTTACATTGCATCTACATGCCACACTGTAAAAAATTTTAAGCCAGTTCAACAAAAAAAATCTTAGTACTAATTTCCTTCTGTTTTTTCTTGTTTACTCAACTTTTGAAAACATCAGCTACACTGACTGAAAATAATTTGTCAGTGAAACAAAAAATGTCTAGTTGAGTCAACTTAACATTAGTAGTTTTCTGGAAACCTGCACCTGCAGCACAACAAATATTTTTAAGTTGTGCAAACTGAACATTTCTTGTCTGCAGGACTGAAATGACAGAAGTTGAGTGAACAAGAAAATACAAAAGGAAATTAGTACTAAGAAATTATATGTTACCAGAGCAAAAGTTGTGTTAACTGAACATTTCTTGTCTGGATGGCCTGAAATGACAGAAGTTGAGTGAACAAGAAAATACAAAAGGAAATTAGTACTAAGAAATTATATGTTACCAGAGCAAAAGTTGTGTTAACTGAACATTTCTTGTCTGGATGGCCAAAAATGACAGAAGTTGAGAGAACAAGAAAATACAAAAGGAAATTAGTACTAAGAAATTATATGTTATCCGAGCAAACACACATGGCTCTGTTTTTTTAAGTTGTGCTGACTGAACATTTCTTGTCTGAATGGTCTGAAACTACAGAAGTTGAATGAACCAAAAAAATACAATTGGAAATTAGTACTAATAAATAAAATGTTATCGGAGTAAACACACATGGCAAAAAAAGACATACATTCATTTTCTTGCAGTACTTCACTAAAGTACAAAAACAAGGTAGTGTATCTGTAAAAAACAAAAACAAAAAAAAAACAAACACTAAGTCAAATTAATCACATGAAAAGGAAACACAATTATATTAAATATATAACAATTACAGCACATCTCTAATTCTCAATAGGTTATAAGACTGTTAGGTTAGGGTTAGCGTGACTTGACATGAACTTGCAAAGTTTCTTATAGTCAGTTAAATGTCTGTTGAATGAGCAGTATTAGCAGATATTAAGCAGACAGTTTACAATTACTCAAATGAGAATTAATTGGCATGTTGTTACAATGCAATGTCAACAAAATGTGCAATAGGGACCATCAAAATAAAGTGTTACCAAAAACACAACTGTGCAGACAAGAGGTAAACGCTACTAACATTAGCTTACTGCATGTACTGAGTACTGTACACTCTGTCAAGTAACCTAAAAAATTGGTCCAGTGTTTCATTTTGAATGCATTCATCTAATTATTATACATTTCTTGTAGTGTGAATATGCCAAAAAGTGAGTAATTCTACTAGAGCTGTGGCAATAAATTGATTTGAGAAATCATTCTGCGTCAATTCTACCAGGAATTGATTCTGAGCTTACTTTTTTCAGAACAGATGGTGCTCTAGGCTAGTTTTTAGGCATGAACAAATGTTCATGAAGAAAAGCACTTGTGCATTTGACAAAGTCATGAACCGTAAGTGGTCAAATATACCTGAATTTAACTCAATATCACCTTGACTTTATGCCACTATGAAATAAATAGCTGACTATGAAAATAATTAATTTATACCACTATAAAATTATGAATGGTTATTTTAGTTTCAAGTTGTATTTTTTAAAGCATGCAGTGCTATTTGTTGGTAAAAAAAAATAAGCTCAGATCTAAGAAAATAATTCAGAAAATCTTAGAATCAATACAGAATCATATATGAATATGAATTATTAGCTTGCTGATGTTCACTCCAGTTTTATCTTTATTATCCTGATATTGTAGATTTTGGACTGAAGCAGCTAATAATAATTTACAATAATAAAGGGCAGAGGGTTGCTAAAGAACTACTAAGATATTTCAGCTGCAGTCTGGGCTTTCACTGCCTTTCTACACCTCCCTTTCTTCATGTGTTCTTTTTTTTCCCTGCATCATTTAATTATAACCTAATTGAGTTATAAATTACCTATAACTTAATTTTGTCCTCCACTATGTACTTGAGTATGCATAGAAATATTTACCTGGTTGTTGAATCCTTGACTTTTTTATCCCATATTTTCCTGTAAACAGAAATAAATTCATATATAAGTGTCAACAAAAGCTGAAAACTATGGAATTTATGGTGCTGTTTACCCAGACAGAAAAGCGAAAAATAGCAATATTATACTGGCAATATGACAATATAAATGTACAGAAACTAAAACCCCACATCAGTTTTTGTCATTAGAGGCAGTTATATGGTAAAAAAGCACTATTTCTAGACTGGTTCATTACCATTTGTGTCTTCAAGGTAATGCAGAAGTCAACACTTTAAACTAAGGTTTCTTCAGTTTACATTTCTATTATATCATCATAAAAATGTATGGCCCACAGACAAAGACATCAAAGCTCACACACATATGTTTTAGCTTAATCTACCACTGAATTGGCTTTCAAATATGTACGTTCTATAAACAGATATTTCCACTGGTTGGAGTCCCGGAATTGGCACAGCAAGAGTTCCTAAAAAACAAACTGAGACCAATTTACTCAGAATGAGAGAGGGAAAGAGAGAAAGAGAGAGGGAGAAAGAGAGAGCGATCCACCCAGAAACACCTGCCCTTTGATCCACCTGTCATCACAAAGAGACATTATTTTATCACCGTCATCATCACCATCTGTCCAGCTAGATGTGGTAGTTATTATAGATCTGGACTGGCAACCCACAATGATGTATGTTTAACTCACTACAGTGATTAAACCGAATTGTTTTATTTTCTGACTCCACATGCAAAAAGAATTTATTAAATGCAATTAAATGAGGACTTTCAAAATAGGTAATTAAATACAAATTTAATAGAGTCGTTCTCCTGGCTGAACCGTCTTAACAAATGAAATTTCATGAGAAAATATCAGTCAACCGAATAGAAACCAAAGTCAAATGCAGTGTGGAATCTCCAGTTTAACAAGCTCGTAAAATATCCTGGATGTTTCCACCATACCACAATCTGCAGCCTAGTGACATTTAAGTGACTCAAGACTACAGAATTAAAATTTAAAAAGTATGAGGATGGATAGACAGATATATAGATGTAACAATAGACGGATATGGAATTTGAATTTTATGGATGGATGGATGGATGGACGGGTGGACTTTGAATTTTGAGGACGGACGGACGGACAGACAGACAGATAGACGGATAGACGGATAGACAGATAGACGGACAGACGGATAGACAGACGGATAGACAGACGGACAGACAGACGGACAGACAGACGGACAGACAGACAGACAGACAGACAGACAGACAGACAGACAGACAGACAGACAGACAGACAGACAGACAGACAGACAGACAGACAGACAGACAGACAGACAGACAGACAGACAGACAGACAGACAGACAGACAGACAGACAGACAGACAGACAGACAGACAGACAGACAGACAGACAGACAGACAGACAGACAGACAGACAGATAGATAGATAGATAGATAGATAGATAGATAGATAGATAGATAGATAGATAGATAGATAGATAGATAGATAGATAGATAGATAGATAGATAGAATTTGAATTTATGGATGGATGGATGGATGGATGGACTTTGAATTTTGAGGACGGACGGACAGACAGACAGTCAGACAGATAGACAGATGGATAGACAGACAGATAGACGGATAGACTGACAGATAAACAGACAGACACAGACAGACAGACAGACAGATAGACAGATAGATAGATAGATAGATAGATAGATAGATAGATAGATAGATAGATAGATAGATAGATAGATAGATAGATAGATAGATAGATAGATAGATAGATAGATAGATAGATAGATAGATAGATAGATAGATAGATAGATAGATAGAATTTGAATTTATGGATGGATGGATGGATGGATGGATGGATGGATGGATGGATGGATGGATGGATGGATGGATGGATGGATGGATGGATGGATGGATGGATGGATGGATGGATGGATGGATGGATGGATGGATGGATGGATGGATGGATGAAAATTATGGATGGGTGGGTGGATGGATGGATAGATATAACAATAGATAAACAGGACAGACAGACAGACAGAAAAAGAGGATGGATGGATGGATAGATAGATGGATGGATGGACGGATGGATGGATGGATAAATGAAAATTATGGATGGATGGGTGGATATAACAATAGATAAACAGGAAAGAAAGAAAAAGAGACTATATCAAATGTGGCGTCTCTATGAAGAGATACTTTAGATAATAATAGTTTGTTATTTTCCTTTTTATTTGTTCTTAGAGTTTCTGGCACTGAAGTACCCACCTGCTCATGTAATTAGGGCAAGAGTTCCACCCTTGGTTTACTGCTGAACCAAGAAAACTTAATGATAGAGAGGGCTGGTCTGTTTGGAGACAACAATCATGCCACTGTTTTAGGCATTAGTCTGTACACAACTCTTTCTCTCTCACTGCGTCCCAGAAAATATGCTGGTGAAGCTGAAGCAGTAGGGTACTCAAAACTGTGATATAGTGCGAGTACATCCTAAAAACAGCACAGTTTAAGGACAGTCTCTTCAACCTACAATAACACATATTTTAAGGGTGGAAGTTTTCATAAAAAAGTTTTTCTTTTCAATTTCAGGCACTTTTATTTGTACAAAAAGAGTACATATATCCTGGAAGCCTGCGCATTCTCTTATTAACCAATACTGAATTCTCACTCTTATAGATATTATGTGTCTCAGATTTTCCATCAGACTTTGGGCCCAAACATTGAAGGAACTTAATTGTCTCAATAAAGAAGACCCCTTCCCCCAACTCTCAGTCCCAGGCCATTTTTTTATATTGTTAGGTTCCCTGTTTGGGATTTTATGGGATCGTAGACCACTTTTAACATTGTCTTCAAATATCTCAATCTATTTTGTTTATTTACTTTTTTTTTTTTTTGGTTGTTAATGTTACCTTTAGTCAACCTTTAACACATTTTCTGTACTTTTTGGTGCAGGATTTGATTAATATCAACATTAATAAAACAGCATTTGAGATTGTAGGCTTTAGTTAGCAAAACTGTCCCTGAATGCCAACCCTAAACTTGATCATATTTGCTAAATCAAATGTTTCTCAATCAATGAACTCGAAATAAAAAGTGTAAAGCCTGTCAATAAATGACACAACTAAACATACAAACTCCATAATTATAGAAGGTGATTGAAAGTTTAAGGACAGAATCAGACTGTATAATGTATTTAATAGTAATAGTGCATTTACAGTAAAATAGTGTATCTAATTTCTTTAGATGATAATTTCGCATAAAGATATTTGAGTCTGAATTGTGGCTCAAGTCTTTTTATTTCCTCGGTGACACAGACAGAGTATGTCCTGCTGACACAGCAGCCAAAGGGCGCAGCCATAATTGTAATCTGCTTTTTCCTTACTTGCCAGAAACGTGGAAATCTTCTAAGTGGCCTAACATTTAATTACAACATCTTCAGAGAGGCGATCCAGAAGAGGCAGTGTCAGGGCGGGACGGCTCACCATCACTGAATGACTGTGAGAGGAGTCGCTCTTCAGTGAATCTGCCAAGTCTGGCGCTTATAGCAAAATGCACGAACTGCATGGTGAGGTCAGGTACTGGGCATGCTCACATACGAGAAAGAGCCAACTGGAGATTCCCTAGGATGGAAGCCACAAAAGCCACAGCAAGCACTAAAATCTGTAATTTAAGTTAAAATGGCGTCTTCGAATTTCTGTTTGTGGCTTGTCTTTTAAATCAGGAACAAACAAAAGTTTGCTTAAGTGTTGCTGTGACCTCCAGGACAGATTAGGATTCTGAGGGGGGGAAAAGGCACAAAGCCTAAAAAGATAACAAAAACCTGTCAGCTTTCTATGGAAACCTGTTCTTGACTGGTAAGAAAAAAAATCATGCATTAAGTTAAAATTCTGGTCTAAAACAAAAAATATGACTTACTATGTCAATACTCCACTGATAAAAATCTAAATTATTACTTACTAAATTAAAAATATGACTTTTAAAGAAAACAGAAATGTTTAAAGATATAATTTTGAGTTATCAAATCATAATATCAACTTTTTATTTTGTAATTTATTATTTAAATCATAATTTTGATTTGTTAAGTCATAATTTTGAGTTATAATTACATTTGTTTATCTCTTAATTTTGACCTAATAAGTCATAACGTCATAAATAATTGTCATAATGTTGACTTTAAGTAATAATTTCATTTTTTTATTCACATAATTTTAATTTAGTAAGTCACAATTTCGACAGTCAATTTTACTCTAGAAAAACTTAATTTTTACTTTATGAATCTTCTTTTTACCCTAAAAAAATCATAATTGTGACTTTTTGAGCCATAATTTTACTTTAGAAAATCCTTATTTTGACTGAGTCATAATTTCACTTTAGTAAATCAGAATTTTATCTTTGAGTCATAATTTTAACTTAGTAGATCATAATTTAAACTTTTTGGGTCAATTTCACTTTAGTCAATCATAATTTTGACTTCGGGTCATCATTTTAACTTAATAAATCATAATTTCGACATTCTGAGTCATAATTTCACCTTGGTAAATCATAATTTAGATTTTTTGAGTCATAATTTCGCCTTAGTAAATCATCATTTTGACTTTTAAGCAATAATTTTGGTTTTACTCATGACAAAAAACCATGACTTCTTCTTACACTGTAAAAAGTTCTTGTTGCCTACATTTTTTGTTAATTTAAACTTTTTAAGTCATCTCAACTTACTTCGGTCACTGCCAAACAAATGTTATATCAAACCTGACTAACTTATTGAAATAAGCTAAAGTAGCATAAAAAATATTTTGTTGTCGTGACTTGTTGACGGTCTTTCTTTTTCCTAGTGCACAAACAAAAGGAAATTGCTCAATGAACTGTTTATCAGAACACATTGTTCACTAGCATACACAGATCATGTGGAGAAAGCAAGTAGAACACTTTTAAAGCCCCAGTACAAACCTACAACTAAAAAAGCTTGTGGACCGCAGACCCATAAGATTAAGGTTGTGCTTTTTATAACGAGCACATGGGTCAACGCGACAGCAGAGCCAAAGCCCATTCAGACGATGGGAATGAAATAGTTGCGCTGTGACTGTGGTTCCTCAAAAAAATACCTCTGAGCCACAGCAGCCTTCTATAAGAGGAGCAAAGTAAGACAACAATGAAAGGGAAATGACAAATCAAAGAATAGCAGGTAGGAACTGTAATAACCTTGTAAACTATTTTAAACCCATTCATTTAACACATTGTGTGGTATTATTGCTTGGCACTTTATTGCTAAATACAAGCAAAAATAAAGGTACCAGAACTTTCACTGGAGCTGAATTTTTTTTTCAAAAGGTACACATATGTACATAAAGGCACCACATTTGTACCTCAAATATAATACCTAACATTTTTGGCTGAAAAAAAGCTGAAAACATGTAAACACTGACTTCCATGGTCAAAAATCAATACTACAGAAGTCAACAACTGGTTTCCAGCATTCTCCAAAATATATTGTTTTGTGTTTAATGACAGCATTATTGAGTGAACAATCCCTTTCACCTAGAGGGTTAGTATAGGAGAGGGAAGAAAATAAGTAGCAAGCTAGATAATGTACAGTAGATGGTAAGATAAATGGGTAGGTTGAATAAGTATACAGACAAATATTATAGCAGAGAAAATAAGAAGGGACAGACAGACACTAATTGTGCATATATGCTTATAAGCTCACAAATATGAGCACAAAATTGCTCCCAAAAAAAAAAAAAAAAACCGGTAAAAGCTTTTGAAATATGCTTATCCTGCATCCTGACCCTGCAAAAACACAAGAAGAATCTGCTGCCATTTTCACTGTAAGTTCAATGAATATTCTCTTTAAGACACAGCACGCAATCTTTATGAATGTCCTACAAGCAAAAGTCAACAGTAATCTGCTTTTTACACACGGCTGAAGCCAGAATTATTATTATATTTTCCTCTGATTTCTCTTGCAGAACACACACATTTCTAAACATAATGGTTTAAAAAAAACTTATTTCTAATAACCGATTTATTTTATCTTTGCCATGATGACAGTAAAAAATATTTGACTAGATGTTTTTCAAGACTCTTCAATACAGCTTAAAGTGACATTTAAAGGCTTAACTAGGTTAATTAGGCAAGTTAAGACAATTAGGCAAATCATTGTATAACAATGGTTTGTTCTGTAGACAATCTAATAAAAATATTGCTTAAGGGAGCTAATAATATTGACCATGAATTGGTTTAAAATAAATTAAAAACTGCTTTTATTCTAGTCAAAATAAAACTAATAAGACTTTCTCCAAAAGGGCTAATGGTTTTGACTTCATCTGTATTTAAAAGAGCTGACCAAGAAAGACAACACTGCGACAGTATGATACACAGTTCAGAGAAACTATCTTTGAGGAGGTTGGAGAAAGTCAAGGTTGGCAGTCTCAATAAAATCATTAAACAAACCTGAAACCCTTTCTCTAACTACAGACACTTTGAAGGCTTTAAACAGATGTCCCTTTCCAATAGCAATCAGCAAGGATATTAGACTTTTCACTTGGACCTAAGCGTTCAGAACAGACTGTTCATTTCAGAAACGCTGGGGTCTCGATAGCATCAGTAGAACTGAAAGATCTTTTAATCATTGGTTAAGTGCTTAGGTTTGTGAAAGGTGCCTGGAGAATGAAGATAAGGGTAACAGACGTGCCTTTTCAGCTAACAGAGGAGCTGAATCTTTCATTTCCACCACACGAAGAGACAAACATCTTTCTGCACTTAGACATGAACTTTGTCTAGAATATCATCATTATATCTTACTTTCACTCTGACGTGTTATCACTACATCCTGTGTGGTCCATCAAGAATACAAAACCAATGAATGAAAAGAAAAACGCAATGAAGAAAAAGACAAGATCCTTTGTCAAACTGTTTTTATCTGAAATAATTGCAATTATTTTAAATTTAAACCATCTCTGGACTAATATATATATATATATATATATATATAAAAAAAAAAATATATATATATATATATATATATATATATATATATATATATATATATATATATATATATATATATATATATATATATATATATATATATTTAAATATCTTGCTCAAAATTACTGTTTTTATTGTTTTATTTGATTAAATTAAATGTTGTAAGCATGAGGGACTTAATATATTTATTATATTAATTAAAATACACACCCTGACAAAAGTCTTGTCATCGATCCCAGAAGTAAGAGCAGCAATTAATAACTAAACTTCTAGATGATCATTTGGAAAAGTGTCAGAAGGTTGATATTTCTGATAATTTATCTGTTGAACTGCATCCAAATCATCACAAATACTGCAGAAGACCTTTTGAAACCCACATGGACCCAAGATTCTCACAGAAATCAGGCAAGTTTGTTGAAGGAAAAGTATAGTATAGGGGCCTGTGCGAGATCTGCAGAGTGGATGGCAACATCAACAGCCTGAGGAATTAAGACATTTGTGCTGCCCATTACTTTACAAACCACAAGAGACGGCAGATTCTTCAGCAGGATAGCGCTCCATCTCAAACTTCAGCCTTCACGTCAAAGTTCCAGAAAGCAAAGAAGGTCAAGGTACTACAGTATTGGCCAGCCAAGTCACCAGACATGAACATTATTGAGCATGTCTGGGGTAAGATGGAGGAGGCATTGAAGATGAATCCAAAGAATCTTGATGAACTCTGAGAGCCCTGCAAGAACACTTTCTTTGTCATTCCAGATGACTTTATTAAGTTATTTGAGTCATTGCAGAGATGTATTGATGCAGTCCTCCAATCTTATGGGAGTCAGACACAATATTCATTCTGTTTCCACTGCACCATGACTTTATATTCTATACCGTACATTATTTCTGTTCAGAGTCAAGACATTTGTATAAGCAAAGTCATTACTGTCCTAATTAAATAATTAAAAATTAAGACATGAACATATTTTATTTTGGTAAAATAAGTGTAATGTAGAGGCCTTTGCCTTTTATTTAAGCCACTTCTGACAACAAATGATCAAATAGAAGTCAGGTTACTATTTGTTGATCCAAAAACTTGCATAGGCGACAAGACTTTTGTCAGGTAGTGCATTAAATATTTTTTAATAATATAAAAATGTATTTTAATAATATTAATGTATTTTTAATAAATTGTTTTTAAATAATTTGCAGCCATATTATTGACTAATATGAAAATATTTATATGATTTATTTACAATATAGATTGTAAAGGAATATTTTCTGTCTTTTAGTTGATATATGAGAGACTTGCTTTGTTTACCAAACAAAGTGGATCTAATTGGATTTGCATTGTAAACATTGAATACAAGTTAAACAGGTATTACTTTTTATTTCATATATTAAGGTTTTAGTTGTGATACTCCTAAATTCATTCCGCATAAATCCGCAGATTTTTAAAAAATTCTGCACAAAAATAGAAAAAAAAGTCTGCAGATTTATCTGGCCCTTATTTACGAGTCATATTTGTTTTAAAGAAAATGATATATTCAGCATTTTTTATTAATCAAAGTCGACAGTAAATGAATATTGTAACAACATATATAAATATATTCTTAACTAACAATAAAATCCTAATTAAATATAATAAAATACATATCAAACATGTTTTAATGGGAACATGCCACACTAAAAATTTATTAAGAGAAATAAATTAATTTAGCATGTTTTTGATAGTTATACAGTATCATTTTTGCCATTTTCACACTAAATATTCAATTCAATAAATTCAAGATTTGCTTATGCAGTTGACGAAAAAATGTTTTTTCAGAAAGGTCACATTCAAAATATATTCAAACAGAATCCAGCTATTTAAATTCACAATACTTCACTTTTTGTGACTGTATTATTGATCACATAAAATGGTGTCTTGGTGTTTCTTTCAAAAACACACACACAAAGTCCTTATGTACCCTTCCTTAAAAAGAATGTGAAAACAAAACTGTATTTAATTGCACAGTTCTGCTACAAAGTCAACCAGACAGTCTTTTTTTCTATCCAAGTGGGAAGTTTTTGGCCAGAATAAGCTGCAGTCTGGAGAAGATTTTATGCTGTTAGTCAACAGTCTGGAAAGCCCTGCACTAACACAATGAAATTAAACAAAACTTGCATCAGCCAATAACAGTGAATTAGCACAAAACGCTGGGTTTTAATATAATGCTAATTATCTCAGGACCAAAACCTCAGAATCTGCTGCCAGTGCACATGCTGTGTTTCTCATCAGACATGCAGGACTCACTTGTAGGTGTTCATGTTGGGCTGCTCCGCGTCAGGAAAGCCAAGCATCCCACACACGACTCTGCTGCTGTTCAGACTCCAGCCTTTATCACACACCTGTCTCCATCTCCCAGCATGCTTTACTTCCACCACACCCTCAGTGATGAGGGCACGGCGCTTTGTAACCATGAGGACTGGCTTGAGACGGACTTCTTCAATCCTTACCCGACTGGCAGACTAGAAGAAAACCCAACATTTTGTCATTAGCTGCTTTTGGAGAGGGAAAAATCTTGAATTTAACATGGAATGCAAAAAAAGTACTGTGAAAGCATCCAAAAACATGCAAAACTCTACTCATGTGCTACATTTCAAGTCTTCAAAGCCATGCAGTACTATCAATTCAGGTTATAAACTGATTATATATGCAAACCTAAATGAAAAAAGGTTGGGACAGTATGGAAAACTCAAATAAACAAAAGGAAGAAGTGATTTCCGAATTTACTTTGACCTGTATTTCATTGCAGACAATATGAACACAAAATATTTCATGTTTTGTCTGGTTAACTTCATTTCATTTGTAAATATACATCCTTTCCTGTCATTCAGACCTGCCACACATTACAAAACAAGTTGGGACAGGAGAAATTTATGGCTAGTAATCAGGTAAATTGGTTCAATAATGATGTGATGTCAACAGGTGACTAATTCTTCATTCATTCGTTTTCTTGTCGGCTTAGTCCCTTTATTAATCTGGGGACGCCACAGCGGAATGAACCACCGTAACTAATTATGATTTATACAAAAGCAGCATCCCAGAAAGGTCTAGTCCTTTAGGAGCAAAGAAGGGCCAAGGATCACCAGCCATTTAATGTGTTCCTCATGACGTTTATTTATTTAATTACTTTTTAAATAAACACTTATTCCAATTTTGGTTCTTGCGACACACTTCCAAAAAGTTTGAACAGTACATTATTTACCAGTTTGTAATGTTGCCATTCCTTTTCAAAACACTTAAAAGATGTTTAGGAATTGAAGACACCAAGTGATGAAGTGTTTCAGGTGTAATTGTGTCTTAAGGTGAGCAACAGTACGGGGTTGTTGCATTGTGCGCTTTCTCTATTGGAAATAGGTCAGGACTGCAGGCAGGCCAGTCAAGTACTTGTATCCTCATCTTCCGCACTCAGTACTTGTCTTGTTGAAATACGTCCATTTCTCCCTAAAAAAAATACCTGAAATGCTGATTAATCTGACCACAGCGCACATTTCCACTGTGATCGTTCATACCGGATGCCTCCGAGCCCAGAGAAGTCGACAGTGCTTCTGGACACTGTTAACATAGGGATTCCATTTGGCAAAGTACAGTTTAAACTGGTTTGTTAAAGTAATCCTGAGCTCATGTAATGATGTCGCTTATAGATGAATGATGATTCTTTATGCAGTGCCACCTGAGGCATAGGAGATCATGGTTGTTCAGCTTGCGGTTGTTCAGCTTGCGAGGTCATGGTCATTTAGCCTGAACTTTTATGCACTGAAATTCCTCCAGATTCCTTAAAACTTTTAAATATGTTATGCACCATTAAAAGTAAAATGCACAAATGTCCTCCTATTTTGCTTTGAGGAACAATGTATTCAAACATTTTCTTGGTATTTGTTGGCAAACTAGCAATCCTCAGCCCATCTTAGGACTAGACCTTTCTTGGATGCTGCTTTTCTAAATCATAACTACAATCACCTGTTAACATCGCCTGTTTCAAATTACATCATTATTGAACCAATTTACCTGATTACTAGCCATAAATTGCTCCAGTCCCAACTTTTTTTTGTAATGTGTGGCAGGTCTGAATGACAGGAAAGGATGTATATTTACATATGAAATGAAGTTGACCAGACAAAACATGAAATATTTTGTGTTCATATTGTCTGCAACGAAATGGAAGTCAAAGTAAATTTGGAAATTGCTCCTTTTTTATTATTATTATTATTTGCATTTTTCACACTGTTCCAACTTTTTCTGATTTGGGGTTGTGGAAATCTATTGAAAACACCATTAATACCATTAGGAATATTATATAATATAAATATTATAGTAAGGGTTGATCATAATCATTTCTGACATCTGTTTACCGGATTAGGAAGTTGCTGTCTGGATAACTGATCCCATCTGGTTTGATCCTGTGAGTGTCCATTGCCCTGTCTGAGATGCGCAGGTGTCCTCGGGTTGGAGTAAATGTCCTGCCAGCGGTTGGACGTGACTGGGTTTGGTCTGAGTGCGATGGTGTGCCCTCTTCTGGAGACTCCAGGATATGTTTGATCCAGCCTTCTCTCTGGACTGCAGACCACCCCGAGATCCTCCGAGTGTTTGCAGTCATGAACGCCCCATCCGTTTGACCTGCAATCTCTCAGAGCTTTCTCCGTTCCTTCACATCTCACATTATCCATCCAAATGGGGCCTGAAAAGGGTTATAAAGCATCAGAAGGATGAATAAATCATCAGGTGTCTTAAAGAGGAAGTTCAGCCAAATATGAGAATTTGGTCATCATTTATTCAAGACTCGCTTCAGCACAAAAAGTGAATTAGATGTTTAAATGTCTAGAAGTGAATATATAAGTGCATTTCAAGTCTTTGTGTGACAAAAAGGCAAAAATTCAAGAAGTTATTTAGAGAAAAAGCTCTTTTAAGTCAGATCTTTTCAGTGAATTAGTTGAATCAATGGTTTGTTCGAGAATCCCAATGCAATTCTCAAGTTGGTTAACCTTCAAGGTAAAAATTCTTATGGTATTATCAATGTTTTTAGAAGATTTGGAAGTCATATAGACCACATTCATGCTATTGTATGTCATTTTTAAATGTAAAAGCATCAGTCTGAATTTTTTGTAAGTGAATTCGATGAGAAAATCAGTATTACATCTTATTCTGTTCACCAAACTAAAAGGTTTATTATTAAATGAGAATGAGTAAATAAAAATGTTTTTGCAACTGTTCGTTTAAGTGAGGCACTACCATCAGCTCCATAAATGTATCTTTTTAAGAAATCTTGCATAATAAATCAGCGCACAGCAATAAGCCTGCAGGCCAGACTTACACAATACAACTTAATATGGGAAAGAAGCGTCACCATCAAAAGCATTACAAAAGAGCTCTGGTGAAGCAGTCTGCAGGGTTTGTTTTAGTTTTAATGACAGTGTTGTCTTGCCAACTAAGTGTTATACATGCTTTGGGTTAGTGGCTGTCTTTATAGCTGCCTTAAAGTGAAATTACAGGGAGCGATTTGGGCGATGTAAAGAACAGTAGCTCTGTGCACTTGCACTAGTGAGAAACAGCTATTTAAAACAGCAGTGCGCCTTCATACTCAACTGCACTCACATAATCCACAGTTAAATGTGAAAATGACAGAGATTCAACACTTAAACCTCAGTGATTCAGGCAGTAATGAAAATCTGCTGTAAGAGCTTTTGCTAATATTTGCGTTATATGTAATTAATGTTCTCAGTCATTTCTATCTGAATGTTCTCTGAACGTTATTTCTTGATTGTATGAATGTTAAGGGAAAATTCTGTTTGATCATGCTGAAAACATAAAAACATTATTTATAAAAATAATTCTTGCTTTTTTTGTTGTTGTTGAATCAAATTTACTTTTCTAGTCATCTAAACTTACGTCAACCAAACTGATTAAAATATTAATTTAAAGTAATATCTGAAACCTGATTAAAATATTAAAATAAGTTGAAACAACAAAAATATTTGTTGTCTTGACTTTTTGTAATTCATTTGATTTAGTGTTTAGAACAGTGTGTTGATAGTAGGTTTTTCTATTTAATAAAAGTACATTCTTCGTACTAAAATGTGGAATATATAATATTAAAACTGAAAAATGTAAACAAATATTCTATTAATCTTACTGGAAGAGCTTTATTTGCATTATACAGTATTATAGTTGAAAACTACCAACTGACTTTCCAATTTAATTACATCTGAAAGTTCTTTTTTTAACACTGTCTTTGTTGATTTTAGTAGCTTTTAACATGTACAACAGAAATCAGAACCAAATAATAATAATAATAATAATAATAATAATAATAATAATAATAATAATAATAATAATAATAATAATAACAAATAAATAATAAAACAAAAAAATAGAAAAAAATGCAAGAAATACATAAAAATATTAATAAAAATATACAAACATATAAGTAAATGCATGTACTTACACATACAATATAAAGGTACATCATATAATAACCATGGTATATCAACAGCAGGTAATACAAATTATTCAGAGAAAAGATTTGTATCAGCTTCCTTCAGGAATCCTACAAATGGATCCCAATTTTTTTTACAGTTTTTTTTTTTTGGTTTCTCTACACTATAAAAATTTATTTTTCTAAAGTCAAACAACGGGCCAGTTCCTGCAAACATTGTCCAAAATGCGGGCTTTCTGCATTTTTCCAAAAACTAGCTATTATAAGTTTTGCATGTAATAAACTGAAAGTTAACAGTTTCTAATCTGAACTAGTTAAAGTGCTTGTAATAGGAAAAATGTTTAGAATACAAAGTTTTGGACATCTGGGTATATCCTGTTTTGATACTATGGATAAAGTTTAGAATTTTCCCCCAAAAATGTTCAACCAAAGGACACTTCCATAAACAATGAGAGTTCCTATCTCTTTTGTCTTTTTTTTTTTTTTTTTTGGTTATATGAGTGATAGTTAACTCAAATTATATCATTATGTACTCACCCTCCACTGTTTTCTAAACCTGTTTTAGTTTCTTTCTTCTGTTGAACACAACAGCCGATATCCTATAATATGAATTATTTGAAAGCAGCAGACATTGACTTCTAGTGTATATCTGATCCTATATGAATGTAATTGGCAGCTGGTATCCAAAATCCCTTAGAATATTTTGAGTGTGAGTAAATGGTGTGGAGTTTTCAACGTTTAGGTGAACTATCCCTTTAAGGAAAAATTATACTTTTTACTTTACATTATAGAAACATTACATTTAAATATAATGTACGAACAGTCTGGAACTATTTTAATGTACCTCTAAATGCTCTATGAAGGTTGTGAAACTATAAACAAACATCCAGATAATTTTCTAAAGTTTTTTTTTATTATTTATTGTAAATTTAATCACATGGTAGACACTTTATTTCGAAGAGATTTCCTAAATAAGGACAAAAGAAGTAATTAAAGCAACAAAAGAACAACTATACACTGTAAGAAATATGTATTAATCAACAGTTTCTGTATTTTGTGATTCACAGGTGTGTTTTTTTTTTTGTTGTTGTTGTTTATTTACGATTGTGAATTGCATTATGGGATGTTGATCTCCGCTCTGTCGACTTTTGATGTTGAAAATTCAAATCTACAGTTTAACAAAGTGACTTTTATTAACATTTTAGTCGTTTAAAATAATGTAATGCATAAGAAGTAATATATAGAGAAATACGTCTGTAAAATAACAGAAAATGTACTGGTAGTTTATTACAAGGTTTTTTGTAGTGTAATATACAACACTAACACACAATATATCACTTTAAACTATTAAAAATGGTAATAAGTCACTTTTTTGAGGTTAAAAGTTGTTGGAAGAAAGATCAAGGACACAAATGCAATTCAAAGCATAAATATATAATATCTGATAAAAACATGAAATCACAAAAGACATTAAAAAAATACCTGTTAATTAGCAGTTTTAGTTTATATAACACAGAAAAGCGAGCATTGGCATTAAAAAGTCAGAGCAAGGTTTTCGTTAATAAAAAAAGTCAACAGAAAATGTTCAAAGTTTTGAGTGTTCCCTGAGCAGTAATCCTTAAAAAGACAGTACAGTGGTCCCTCGTTAATCCTGTGAGTTACGTTCTAAAATAACCCACAATAGGTGAAATCCACAAATCAGTCCGCTTTATTATCATACAATTATCATATATGTTTTAAGGCTGTAAAACCCCTCACTACACACTTTATACACTATTCTCACACAGGCATAAACATTTTTGCACTTTTCTCTCTCGTTTAAACATTCGTGTCACTTCTACCTTCCTTTAGCATGTCCAGAAGACAAATTTTTTGTGCAATGGTTAGTGTCTTCCTCCACTATTTGGGTGCTACCATGCGTGCCTTTGCCAGTGCAGAACGTTTCGCCGACATTGTGGGGTTTGTTGGGTAGAAAACTTGCAAACAGTACAGCAGTTTAGAGTCAAACTGCTAGCGATAGAAGATTTATGTCAATTTGGCAAGCTGAACGCATTCTGTACTGTACAGGTGACACGGCAGGGAGGAGATTGATTGACAATGGTCTAAGCCAATCAAGACACAGAAAACAATGCACTAATCAGGGCGCAGAACGCAATGCAAATCTTAAATTGCACAAAAAAATATCTGCAAAACTGCGAGGGATCGTGTTAGGGCGAGGGACCACTGTACAAATGAAAAAGCTACATATTGAAGACTGTCAACTCTTGGTCATTCATTTTTATGTTATGGAAAAGAAAAGCACTGACATTCTGATAAATATCTACCACACAATATTCATGTTTGGAACAAGTGAGAACATAATATCAGAATGTTATTTTTCCACACTATAGATTTGTGTTGGATCAACTTGAAGGAATTAAGTTAGCTTGTTAGTTTTTACAAATTTAAGTGGATTGAACATAAAACAATTAAGTTGTGCCAAAAAACTTTTAAAAAAAGTTCTTGTTTTAGCTTATTTTAAGTAGTTTGAACAAAGATCAAACTTTTTTTGAGTGTACAATTAATGCCTTTTGATGATGAAATGAACTCACCCTCTCCTTCTCCGTATCTGGCACTGTGAGCCCACGTGATGCCGCTTTGAAATCCCAGTTCTCTGCAAACCACATTAGCCAGTTTAATGTCGACCTCGTCGTCACATACAGTTCCCCATGTCCCGTTGTGCAAGACTTCGACACGTCCCTCGTTTTCTTGGTGGCCAATGCCTGCCAGTCGCACTTTGGCAGCAGGGGCACGTCTTGAGCGCCCTGATGATCCAGGACGAGCGTCCATACACATGAAGAGCAGCGCAAACAAAAGAATACACAGCGGACAGACCCGAATCATGACTGCACACCGATGAGGCTCTGGAGGACAAAATAATACAGCCTGATGTTATCATAGAAATAAGTCAAATAAACTAGATCATTAAGATAACCAGGGTGACACGGTGGCTCAGTGGTTTGGTCGTAGTGTATGTGTGTGAATGAGTGTGTATGAATGTTTCCCAGTACTGGGTTGCAGCTGGAAGGACATCTGCTGTGTAAAACTTATGCTGAATAAGTTGGCGGTTCATTCAGCTGTGGCAACCCCTAATAAATAAAGGGACTAAGCCGAAGGAAAATTTATAAATGAATTAAAATAACCTGGTATTCAGATGGTCATGTGATCTCAAAATGGCAGCACCCATAAGGTGACCCACAACATGTCACATGAAACAGCTTTTATTATGCTATTGAAATGGCTGCAGCTTAATCTGGATATATTTGACACTGAATATATTTTTATGTTTGTAAGTATTTTTGTTAGTAAGTTTTGTATGTATTTAAGAATGTTTTAAAGGGAATGTTAAAAAAAAATTATGCATACATACAATTATCAGGAAGACTTTTATTAACTGGCCAAAAGAAAAAATATATATAATTTTGTGTAAAGACCATCATGATTGATTTTTTTAATTTATATTTTTATTAAGATATATATATATATATATATAATAAAAAAAATTAAATTAGATAAGGAAAACGCAAAGTAAGAAATAAATTAATTAATTTAATTAAATATAAAATTATTAAATAAAAAATTTAATTAATTAATTAAGACAAATGCAAAATTAATAAAACAAATATTAATAATTAAATAAATATATAAATAAAATATATATACAATAAAAAATAAGACAAATGCAAAATAAAAAAAATAAGAAAAATAAAAATAAAAAAAATAAAAAATAAAGACAAAAAGCAAAATAAATAAAACAAACAAGTAAATAAATAAATATAATAAAATTGAAAATAAATAAATCAAAAAGACAAATCCAAAATAAATAAAATAAAAATACATAAAATAATAATAATAAATAAATTAAATAAATAATTTTTGTTTACAAAAAAATAAAAATTCTCGCCAAATTTTAGAGAGAAATACAATCCAGACATGCTTTTAGCCCTTTCTGAGAGTTTCACCCAACTTTTATGTTAAATTAGGATATGTGAATAGATGAAGGGAAAGTTAGTAATAAACTTGCTATAAGTCATACAGTATACATAAAAAAAACAAAAAGTCTGTGTATTCATAAACAGCATCATCATGATTTTATGAAACAAAACAATCAAAGCAATTATGTGATAGTATTTCATTTCACTAATGAGACACATTTATACAGAACAAATATATATCAACCTTAAAAGAAGCATGCAATAAAAAGGAAGAAAAGAGGGAGATAAGGAGTATGTTTATCAATACAATTATAAAATCAAGAGTTAAGAGTGAAGTTTGGCTCACCTGCAGCCGGCTGTAAGTCACGTCAGTCACAGACTGGAGGAAAATGAATGAAGGAGAGAGTTGAACATCAGCAGTGTGTGTGTGCCTGTGTGTGGCTCTCCTCCCCCTCCGTCTCTCTCCCTCCATCACTTCCACATCCCTCCCACACACTGCTCCATCTTCACCTCAACATGAAAAGTAACTTAAAGAACATGTATAGTAAAATAAGAGCTCAGATAAAACGTTTAATACAATTAAAATAAATTAGCATCTCATAATAATACAGTGCACTGAAAAAAAAATTATTAAATTTTTTTACATTATTTATTGCGGATTTACAAACTATTACCCAACCCAAATAAATAGTTTGTCACCATTTACTTAAAAAAAAAAATTGTAAATACAATAAAAAAAATTCAGCGAGTATATTATAAATTATGAGTGTAAAAAAAATTACTTTAATTTCTCTCAGCATTAATATCTACTTTTATTGGAAATATAATTATTTAATCTATATTCATAATTTGATTTATTAAGACAAAACATACATAATTTATTGAGATAAAATAGTAATGAATGAAATGTTAAATATATAACGAAATACCGTCTTATATAATATAAAAATCTGACTAAACATCATTGCCTTTTAATATTTATATGTAAATTTATTGGAAATGTAATTACAGAAAACATATTTAAAACTTGATAGTATAACTAGCCATAGGCTTAAAGTGCAACTTAATTAGGTTAACTGGGCAAGTTTATTTCATAATTTATTTCTATTTTCATAATTTAAGACAAAACATGAAGAATTTATTGATATAAAATAGTAATTAATAAATGTTAAATAAATATAGAAATATTTTCTATATAATATAAAAATCTGACTTAACACCTTGTCTCATAATATTTTCATGTACATTTATTGGAAGTTTAATTACTGAAAACATATTTAAAACTTGATATTATAACTAGTATTCAGTTGAAAAAGTGCAATTTAATTAGTTGAACCAGGCTAGTTAGGGTAATTAGGCAAGTCATTGTGTAATGATGGTTTGTTCGGTAGACAATAAAAAAAAAATATTGCTTAAGGGGGCAAATAATATTGACCTTAAAATAGTTTTTTTGTTTGTTTGTTTTAAAGTAAAAACTGCTCTTATCAGGTTCATTCTAAAAATGTAGCCCTATATAAATTTCTAGAGATCGTGAATTATGTAGCCATTAGTACGCATGGCTCTATTTCATCTTTAAAATAAACGTTATGGGGTGGTATGATGGCGTTCCTTTTCATGCTTAGGGTAGGTTAAATTGTCCGTAGTGTATGAGTGTGTGTGTGTGTGTGTGTGTGTGTGTGTGTGAATGTGTGCGTGGATGTTTCCCAGAGATGGGTTGCTGCTGGAAGTGCATCCGCTGCGTAAAAACTTGCTAGATAAGTTGGTGGTTCATTCCGCGGTGGCGAACCCGGATTAATAAAGGGATTAAGCTGATAAGAAAATGAATGAATGAATAAGAGGATTTGACCGCGGCGACAGGGTTCGAATCCAAAAAATAAAATAGTCAGGTTAAATAACAGGGTGAGAATGTGATAAAATCTGAAAACATGGTAAAATCAGGTGTGGGTAACACTATAGGTTAAGTTTAGAGAAGAAGGAGGGTGGGTTAGTCGATCAGTCAGTCCTTCAGTTAGTTGACAGCGGCCCCTAGTGGATTTAGGTGAGAACAGCATGCGCGAACGGCACTCGTGAGAGAAATTTGAGATCTCTAAAAAAACAAACAGCACTCGCTATGGATTTACAAAAAATAAAATAAAAAATGCAAAAAAAAAAAAAAAAAAAAAAAAAAAAAAAGAGTACTTTCTAAGACATATTGGGTGCTCCCTGGAAATGTAAATAACAGTACGTTTTTAGAATAAGCCTGGGTTGGCTTTTATTCTAGTCAAAATAATGCATATTGGTTGTTAGATTTAATTGTTGGTTTTACGACTCTAAATCCCTCTTTAAAAAAAAAAGAAAAAAAAAGAATAAAAATCAGACAATTTCAAAGACACTTCATCTTACATTTTGATCTGCTCACACTCTTAAACCTCTCATCGCCAACTTTGTAACACGAACCCACAGGAAGATCTCGAGTCCTGAATAACTCCATATGTCCCAAATCCAAGAAACTAAAAGAGGCTGCATAACCACATAGTAGATGTTTCTTCAGTGAGGTGACCGCAGACCTCACTCCCAAAAAAGCAAGACATCCTTCTCTTCAAAACCACAGCAAGGATTGTCTTAAATATATCTAGACTCGTTTTCACCTTCATCTGCAGTCCTTTGCTTGGTTTGCTCACTCTTTAGATAACAGCTGTTTGTATTTACACACTTACCTGCATATTTACATGCTTTAAATGCCTGCATGTTTGGGACCAAATTAGCACGTTCTGTGTGTATTTCAGCTTCAACAAACCTCAGAAACACTGTTTTTGGATTCACAGGCATATTTCGAGCAAATAACCTTCATAATTTTGTACCTCAGCAACAATTACCGTAACTTCTATGCACATTTTTAGAAGCAAACAAGAGGAAAAAATTATAAAACGTATTCAGTGTATGAAAATATTTAGCAATTTCCCTAATTACCTAACCTCTGTTTCAAGACATCACCGTCAATTGAAAACTAGCAATTTGGTTGCTTTTTTGTGCCAAATCTGGTGTGACTGTGTGCTTGAATGCAGGTCCCTCCCTCTGGGTAAAACCGAGACAGGAAGGGGGATCCTGTTAGAACGGCTAATCAAAGAGAAATCTGCCCAAAAATACACATGCAGTCAACAAGATTGCTATTGCTACCTATATACAGTACATGTATATTATATGTGACTCATCATGGGTGGCACACTGTACGTGACATATACTACCAGCCAAATGCAAGGACGCACCTACTAATTCCTAACTATTACTGTTTTCCCACAGATTATAATAATGGTAAAGCCAACAACATATACTGTACTCTAATCAATTTTACAAAGAGTTCATATTCAAAAGTATATTTCAGCTATCTCAATGTTAAAAACTTAAAACTACAGATCCACTGACTCAGCATTTACTAAACTACAAAATAAATAAAACTGATGAAAAGACAACCTGGGTGGTGTGCGGATATTATGAGATATTAACTTTAAAGATGTTTTTTGCAAGATGTGAATTTAGAATTGAAAGATGTAAACATATAATTTGTATATACAAACTCAGAATTGTATGTGAACTCTAAATTGAGAGATTTAAATTTGTAATAATGAGAATTTATTTTGAAATTGAGAAATTTAAAAATGTAAATTCACAATTGAAAGCAGTAATTTTGTTGTTGAAAGATATTTCGCAATTGAGAAATGTAAATTCAAAATCGAGAGATGTAAATTCGGAATTAAGACCTCTACAATTTGTATCGAGAGATGTTAATTTGGAACCGAGAGATCTAAATTTGGAACAGATCTAAATTTGGAATTGAGAGATGTTAATTTAAAACAAAGATGTTAATTTTGAACTGAGAGATATAAATTTGGAATTGAGAAATGTTCATTTGGAATTGAGAAATGTTCAATTGGAACTGAGAAATGTTTATTTGGAACCGAGAAGTTTTCATTTGGAACTGAGAAATGTTCAATTGGAACTGAGAAATGTTTATTTGGAACTGAGAGATCTAAATTTGGAACAGAGACATAAATATGGAACATAGACCTAAATTTGGAACAGAGACCTAAATTTGGAACTGAGAGATGTTAATTTGGAACAGAGACATAAAAATGGAACAGAGACCTAATTTTGGAACTGAGAGATGTTAATTTGGAACAGAGATATAAATATGTAACAGAGATCTAAATCTGGAACAGATATGTTAATTTGGAACAGAGATCTAAATTTTAAACAGAGATGTTAATTTTGAACAGAGATATAAATATGAAACAGAGATCTAAATTTGGAACTGAGAGATGTTAATTTGAAACAGATGTTAGTTTGTATTAAAGATATTTGGAATTGAGAGATTTGAAGATTTGTTAATTTGAAACTAGTAGACGTTAATTTAGAATTGAGAGATGGTAATTTTGAACTGACAGACGTTAATTTGGAATTGAGGGATGTTAATTAGCAACTGAGAGGCGTTAATTTGGAATAATGAGATGTAAATTTAGAATTTAAAGATGTAAAGAGAACAGAGACAGGGAGAACAGAGAATTTCAAATAATTGTATACAAACTTGAAACTAAACAAGTGTATATTTAAGCAAATTTGAAAAAAGCAGCTGCAGTCAAACTTTAGCATGTTTCTAGTGAATTTCCGCAACACTTATCAGACTTGTGCTAATCCACGTACAGTATAACATAGATAGGTGCTAAAATTATCATTATCTGACAGCACAGATGGGATCTTCAGCAAGTGTGTAGTGCATATAGATGCCGAGCGTGTGTGTGTGAAGGCTCAAGCTCTGGCTCTAAAGAGACGCTGCTGTGGTCGGGCTCTGCCTCAAGCTCTGTAATTACCCAGCGAGACCCGGCTCTGCCCTTAGCCACAATTTGCGGTGCCATGAAATAAATACATGCTCTTCAACAATAAACAACTGCCTTTTCAAATTATAGCACCTCCTCCGGTTTACCCCCACCGTCACCTCCTGTTTTCCCTCTCTTTGCATGAGTCGCAAGTTTCATAACGCAGGCCTCGCACGTCCATGAAGGGCACCACAGTCTGAGAAAATACTGCCATGAGTTTGACAAAACTGGAGTTCAGGTTTTTTCAACGGACTGTCACACATCAGAGCAAAGCAGTAAATTATAATATTGCTGCTTGACAAAACTAGGACACGGTTTAGTGTAGTTGTTAGTCATTTGACCACTTCAACATTGTGTCTGCTCTCAGAAAAGAGAGGACACTGAGTGTTTTGTTCAAGAGAGAAAAAAAATGCTATAATTTCTACCAATGAAGTTCAACAAAAATCTCCAAAAAGGATGAAATCACACACTTATCCTGAAGCCATTCTGTAATTTCACTACAAGAAACAAAACTTGTAACAAAACGTGACGTAGCAGAGTGGTTTTCCTCGCCCACGGAATTGATTGACAGGTGCCATGTCTCCATAATATGTATACACGTTTACAAAACATTTTCTGCAAAGAAACTAAGATTAAAACATGTTACAAGTCTCTGCAATCAGCTGCTCATTGATAATTAGTTTAAAATGTTTTAAAAATAGATTAAAATCGCTATGTAATTCTTAACAATTACAATAATCCTGACCGCACAATGTCAGTAAACGTGTGTGTGTGTGTGTGTGTTGCAAACGGCATCAGAAAGGTTTGAATAAACTCCTCCACAAATATATCAAATAAACTTACTTAGCATTTTTGACT